CAGCCATCCTCACCTCATTCCCCTTCATTTTAAAGAAAAGAAACGTAATTTTCCTTTGGAAAATACAATGGGACCCATTTGATAAATACTGGCTTTCAAGAAGTGTTGCGCGTGGGTCACCGGCCAGCAGTGACCACGGAACACTGTGGATGGCTCGACAATAAACACGCGAGAAATAACAACATGCACAGAGACAGACTAGTTTCTGTGGGGAAGTAGGGACAGAATGGCCACCCCCCCTAGTGGGGAGCGCGCCGATTTACAGTCCATACCTGCTTTTATTGGGCTCATGCTACATAATAACTCAGGTAACGTACAATACTCATTAGGGGAAGTAAGGAATATAGAAAACAAAGAGCTCTGCCGGTCTATTGAGTTGGGGGTCAAAGAGCTGTAAGGCTGAGGAACAAACTAGCTTCCTCCTAAGACCCTCCTCATTCAACTGAGAGCATTCTTGAACAAAGAAGGTTTCACAGTAATTTACATGTTCTTTCTTAGGCCTGATCACCCCGGGAAATCCGCACTTCCCAGTACCAAGCTGTACTTCCCCGTCATTGTTTCAGGCTTAGGTGGAGCGCGGGAACTAAGGCCACCGAGAGATAAGGAGATTTTCTTCCGGACACTGAGAACTCAGACTTTGTCAAAGCCGAGGAGTGAGGGTCCATCACCCCCTTTTGCTGCAGCCCCCCAAGTCCTTCTTTTGGGGGGCCTCCCAAAGTGATCGTGCCTGGCTTGGGTTGTTCCCCCGTGGGGAATCTTACCCGTCTTTGGCTAACCGACCAAGCTTTTTGGGGGTTCAGCAGCAGAAACAGCATTCCTGCCAGGAAGATAAGCTTTTGTCTCCTTGCCGGCTCACGGTTCCAAGGGCGTTCCCTTAGCCTTAGCCTAGGCGGGGGGGTTTCAGTTTCTGATACCAGTCAGGGCGGTTCCCAACATATCCCCCTTTTTTAGTTTTTTTAAAATCAATTGTGGTCGTTAAGCCTGTGAAACCTACTTTTGCTGTTTTCGAATGCAAATCAGAAGAAAAGCAACATCTACATACATCATAAGGCAATAATAGAAATATAAAGCAGAAACTAAATTCTATGGGTGGTGAATACCTAAATTTCTAAATTCAGTGCAAGAAAACATATTAAGGGAAAAACAAAAGTAATAGGTCTGATTACATTTCGATCTTTGAGAGAAATTACATAGATATCAGGAAAGGCAAATTACAAGGCAGTTTGAGCATAATGCAAGCCTGACTTTTTACAAGAGGATTTCTTAACAGGTGCAGTTCTGCGCACCGACTCATCACCTACTTTCTTACGTGGGTGTTGAGTTTTAATTTTACGCCTGCCAGAGTGGTTTCTCATACCTTCTCCCTTGTTTTCAGTTAGGACTGCTAAGGGTTCCATAAAGGTGGCTACCTGCTGGTCTCTGATACGACCCTGGGAAAACAATTTGCAAATACACCGAAGTACACAAATCAATATCACAATCAGTAAACAACCAGCAGCTCCAAAAACCCAAATTCTCAAATTAATTCCATCAAACCATGTTTTAGGATTCAGCCAATTAATATTTTCATTAAGGGCTTGAAAAATGTCCTGTTTGGTTAAACGTTGAATGTCCTGCAGCTGATGATGTAACTCCAACTGCAATTTATCAATTTGTCCTTTTAAGTTAGTGGAGAAAGCTCCCCTCAAGCGATGTTGTATATCAGTCCAAGTATGTTGGCTGGAATTCCACTGTAGCGGTGTGACACACAGTCTGGAGAAACCAGGGTCACAGGTTAGGTGTTGACGAATCACGAGAGCGTCCTGGCGTTCGCCAATCCAGTCCAGTGCTGATTCAACTGCAGAAAGGCGGGTCAGGATCTCCTGATCTATTTGGGCCTGTTGGACTAATTCTGAAGTAGCATTGATTAAACCATAAGTGCAACCAGGTGTTAACAAACTGTCGGACTCATAAGGAGAGCAGTGCATTGTTAAATGCTATAATGCCATTTGGATTCATTCATTTTCTGGTCATATTCTGGAGATGGCAGATTTGGAAAGACTTGGAAGGCACAATTAAATCATAACCACTATTAACGACTGATCTTGTTAGATTTATGCAAAGAAACCTTATGTCATTACTTACTTCTTCAGAATGCCAAATTCTGGAGGGATCAGGTAGGGAGAAAAATATAAAGTGTGAAGGAAAATCCTTTTCCTTCTGATATCTACCAGGCTTCTTAAAACTTTCACTTCCACAGACCTTCTGCAACATTCACAAACTCTCTATTCTTTTTCATACACTTTCTGATATCCACCAAGATTGCATCTCCATGCTTTAGACCTTCCATTACTAACACACACCACATAATTCTTTCTTAAAACATTTACTTCCACAGACTTTCTGAAACATTCACAAACCTTCTAATCTGTCTTTCATACCCCTTCTGATATTCACCAAGATTGCATTTCCATGCCTTATACCTTCAATTACTAACAACATCACATAACTTCTTTCCTAAAACTTTTATTTTTCCATTTATCTTTACAGTTTCCCATTTACATTCCTAGAGTGTGAAGTTTCAACCTTCCCTGGAATCCTCAATTTCCTTTTCAGAGCAGATACAGAGCAAAATCCATCCTTCTCTGTGGGGGTGAAGGTGGGGCTTCCGTGATCTGCTCACTCAATTTGCACACCGTTTCACTGTCAGAATCAGATTCCTCCTCAACAGTCTAGCTCTGTTTTCTTTGCCCAAATGAACTCAAGAGAATCCCTGACAAGCCTCCAGATTACAAAGGTGTGCGCACCAATAGATATATCACTGTTTTGCAAAGATTTCAACCTTTCACCCACTTTTTCCCAAACATCAATGTCTAACGTCCCTCTACCAGGAAATGAAGGACAACATTTTCTTATAGATTGCAAAAGCTGAACCAGATGCTTTTCTTTCTTATACTTTGTGATACTTTCTTATACTTCCTTATACTTTGCTTCTTTAAGAATTTGTTGTAATATATGCAGAAAAGATTTCTGCCCTTTAGATAAGTTACAACCCGTGTTTACCTTCCTTTCCTTTTTTTTTTTGAAAGAAAAAGCTTCCTTTTACTTATTTTTAATTGGCCAAAACAAATCACCTGATTACTTTCTTCAAGGCAAATCGTTTGTTTTTTCAAACTTGAGAATTAGATTACTATTTACCCAATTATAGGCGGTCGCGAAGAGAGAAACGACCTAGAAAAGAAAGACCTACTTCCCTGAAAATTCAACGCATCCCATGACATGCCCGAGAAAGAGTTCGGGGTCGTCGGCCCTTACCTGGGCTGTTAGCGCGCAAATCCGCCCGAAGTTGATGCGTTGTCCACAGCGACGGCTCGTAGCTGCTGGTTCCAAGTGGTCTCGAACGGGGTCCCACCTCTGTGGTCCCGAATCGCTGCCCCACGTTGGGTGCCAGCTGTTGCGCGTGGGTCACCGGCCAGCAGTGACCACGGAACACTGTGGATGGCTCGACAATAAACACGCGAGAAATAACAACATGCACAGAGACAGACTAGTTCCTGTGGGGAAGTAGGGACAGAATGGCCACCCCCCCTAGTGGGGAGCGCGCCGATTTACAGTCCATACCTGCTTTTATTGGGCTCATGCTACATAATAACTCAGGTAACGTACAATACTCATTAGGGGAAGTAAGGAATATAGAAAACAAAGAGCTCTGCCGGTCTATTGAGTTGGGGGGTCAAAGAGCTGTAAGGCTGAGGAACAAACTAGCTTCCTCCTAAGACCCTCCTCATTCAACTGAGAGCATTCTTGAACAAAGAAGGTTTCACAGTAATTTACATGTTCTTTCTTAGGCCTGATCACCCCGGGAAATCCGCACTTCCCAGTACCAAGCTGTACTTCCCTGTCATTGTTTCAGGCCTAGGTGGAGTGCGGGAACTAAGGCCACCGAGAGATAAGGAGATTTTCTTCCGGACACTGAGAACTCAGACTTTGTCAAAGCCGAGGAGTGAGGGTCCATCACCCCCTTTTGCTGCAGCCCCCCAAGTCCTTCTTTTGGGGGGCCTCCCAAAAGTGATCGTGCCTGGCTTGGGTTGTTCCCCCGTGGGGAATCTTACCCGTCTTTGGCTAACCGACCAAGCTTTTTGGGGGTTCAGCAGCAGAAACAGCGTTCCTGCCAGGAAGATAAGCTTTTGTCTCCTTGCCGGCTCACGGTTCCAAGGGCGTTCCCTTAGCCTTAGCCTAGGCGGGGGTTTCAGTTTCTGATACCAGTCAGGGCGGTTCCCAACAAAGAAGTGTCTCCCTCTTGTGTCCTTTGAGAGTATGGTCATGAAAGTCCTAAACTCATGTTTTTTTGCAACTCTAATCAGAAATGGTGTCAAAACTGGAACCCATCCGGCGGACTTGATGAAACCCAGCATGGAGCCAGGGAAGCTCTGTCTGTGCGTAGAGTAGGAGCACACGCTCCACAGCAGCTGGGCACCCACCCTTCACGCTGCTGCCTGTGAGCAGCTTAGCCCCAGAGAGTAGTCTTGGTGAGAAACAGAAAAACCAGCCCAACTCTAGAAGCTTCCAACACTGGGCTCTCTCCACAGTTTCCTTTTTAATCTTGACTTCAACACTGTTAAAAGAACTAATCTAAGTGGCCAAGTGACTCTTCCTCAGCCTCATAAAGTCATCATGGCTTATGGGAAGGAAGATGGAGGTTCTCAGTAGAGCTAATTTCACTTTGGAGTAATTACAGAAAGAATCAATCACTGTTATAGCCCAGATTTGACTCTGCAAATTAGTTTGAAATGTTGGGGAAAATATATCTTTGGACATAAAGTTGAATTTTTCTTATCTGTATATACATAGAGAACACAGATCGTGTATTAAGTAATATAAACATGGTTATTTTCTATAAATAGGACCTTAATGATTGGAGGGTGTCATTTTGTATAAACACTATAGGCAGAAGAGTAATATTTTACATTTGAAAGAGCACCTTCTGATTGGATTTCTTTTTTTTTTCCTCTTTTGTGCAGTATATAGTGGAATGTCATGGGATCACCCTTCTTCCCCAGTTTTTGGGCATGTACCGGCTTAATGTTGATGGAGTTGAAATATATGTGATTGTTACAAGAAATGTGTTCAGTCATCGTTTATCTGTATATAGGAAATACGACTTAAAGGTGAGATTGATTTTATTAATTTTGCTTAAGTAATGAAGCATACATATCCACATTGTAAATGTTGTCTTTGATCATGCTAAATGCTTCTGAGGTGCTCAGAGCTCGAACCTCCAGGCAGCTAGCAGTGTCCTCCATGGGTTTTCCAGAAGACGCTTATACATGTTAGAGATGTCACATCTGGTTTACTCAACAAATATTTCTTGAACACCAGCCATGTACCAGGCACTGTTTCAGGGACTAGGAATAGTGTGATGAACAAAGCAGAACAAACCTTCACTCAAGGAAGCACTTCACTCACGCTGGCTTTCTGATTGGTAAAGTCAGTAAGTGAAAGTAGCAGGTAAATCATAGTATATTAGGAAGTGACAAGTGCTATAGATACAAGTAAAAACAGGAAATTAAAAAAATAACCATTATTTCTTCAGTTATTTTTGTTACCATCCTTAATCTTTGCAAACACCAGTTCCACATGTATTTAGCCACTTGAATTTTTCTCACAGGTCATTGACAGCCTGTTCATTTCTTTAGCATTTTTAACCCCATTGTTTTCATGCTGAATAAGATATATTATCATATGTTCATGCTCACTATAAAGAAGAAGAAGACAGGGAAGTATGGGGAAGGGATGTGGTTTTAAATAGGGAGTCAGGTAAGGTTTCACTGAGAAGCTGACGTGGAGCAGCCCCAAAGGAAGTGAGGGGATGAGCTGAGGGAAAACATTTCTGGCAGAGGGATGAGGCCCCACGACCAGCTATTTCAAAGACGCTGAGTGAGAGGCAGACCACTGGAAATTTTGCGTGGAGTAAGTTGATCTGGCTTCTAAGATCACTGACTTAGAGGCAGAATGTCCAAGTTGGGAGTTGGCAAACTAGGACCTGCCTAATGGCAAATCCAGCTTGGCCAGTTTTGTGAATAAAGGTTTGTTGGAACACCACCATGCCCGTTGTTTCTGTATTCTGTGTGGCTGCTTGTGCTCGCTCTCAGCAAAGTTGAGTACTTATCACAGAGACCCTGATGGACCACACACAGCCTAAACCACTTACCTTTTGACCCTTTTTAGAAAAAGTTTGCCGAGCTTTGGTATTTATCAATGGATTTCATATTTTTTAAATTAATCTCCTTCACACGCTTAAAAGAGGACCCCAAAAAACTTTTGCTTATGTAAGTTATGTCTACCAATATTTGCAATGTTAGGAATTAATATGAGCACTTTTTAAATACTTTAATTTATTTAAAATAATAAAACAATTACATGTGAGCATATTTTTATGAAAATAACTATATCTCCAAAAAATTAAGATAAGTGGCATTGTTTTACCTTTTTGCAAATCTCTTTGATGTCTGACATATTAAATTAAATATGAGACTGTTGCAATGTCTTACCTGCTGTCTGTTATCGTGATCACCGGCCAGCAGTGACCGAGGAACACTGTGGATGGTTCGTCAACACGCAAGAAAAACATATACAGAGAGCAAGAAAAACATATACAGAGACAACCAAGTCCTGTGGGGAAATAGGAACCAAATGGCCACTCTCTCTGGTGGGGAAAGTGCCCTGTTCCCCCTCCGGAGAGGCTTTTTATTGGTTTCGTTTGAATAAGAATTCAGGTAAAGCTCATTACTCATTGCTAGAAAGTAAGGATCAAATAATAGGTAACAAGGAAGTCTGAGGGGCTATTTTGAGTTAGAGTCAAAGAGCTGTAAAAAACTTTAAGGAACAAACTTACTTCCTTCTGGACCCTCATCATTCAACTGAGAGCATTCTAAACAAAGCAGGTTTCACAGGAGTTTACATATTCTTTCTTAGGCCTGATCACCCGGGGAACCCGCCCTTTTCAGCACAGAGCTGCGCCACCCTGTCATTGTTTCAGGCTTAGGTAGAGCAAGGGAACTAAGGCAACCAAGAGATAAGGAGATTCTCTCCCAGACAATGAGGACTCAGGCTATGTCAAAGCTGAGGGGTGAGGGTCCATCACCTCCTTTTGCTGTAGCCCCCAAAGTCCTTCCTTGAAGGCCTCCCACATGATCGTGCCTGTGTTAGGTCGTTCCCCCCTTGGGGAATCTTACCCGTCATTGGCTAACCGATCAAGCATTGGGGGTCAGTTATGAATGAAGCAGCAGAAACAGTGCTCCTGCCAGGGAGGTAAGCTTTTGTCTCCTTGCTGGCTTATGGTCCAAGGTCACTCCCACAGCCTTAGCCTTGGTGGGGGTACAGCTTCTGGTACCAGGCAGGGCAGTTCCCAACAGTCTGTTGTGATGTTATTTGATTGAAGTGTATGAAGAAAGTCAGACCCTACACAAATAAGGAGAGGGGTGTGTTATATTAATTTTGCCAGCAGTTTATAGATAGTCTTTTGATTTCCAAAATCTGACAAATGGTAATTTCCCAAAGCTTATGTGGAATCTGCAATCACATCAGTGAACTTTTGTACTCTTTTCATTGAAAACATTATACATTATGAATACATTATGCTTCAGTTGTTTGGAATAGATGGGTTCACTTGAGTTATGTGATCTTCCAAATATTGACACATTTCATTATATGATATCAAGAAGTCACCACCATTCTCATCAGAAAAGTCTTTAAGTGTTGATAAGCTGCCAGGCTCAGGGTGGTGGATACAAGTTTTTAAATTTCTGATTTTCACCTAAAAGCTCAAATTTTTACCACTGACAACAAATCCTGGTAGTTGTTTTTCGTGAAGTCTTACCCACCATTGTTTCTGCAGTATCCAGGCAAATATCAAAACACTGAGTAAGGCAAGTAACGTCTCAGTATTATTATAAAGACAGTTTGACTTTGCAGATCCCTGAGAGGGTCTCAGGATCCCAGGGTGCTGAATCACACACTTTGAGAAATGCCAACCTAAGGGAGGGAAGATGGTCTAGGTTTATCTCCTACCCTCTGGAGTTTGAATTAACTGTCCAGGCTTTCCAGGTACAGCCTTGGTCAGTCCTGCCTTCAAGTCGTAACCATTCTGTTCACTGTCATTGCCCCTAGTGGAAATTCCAGCCACTGTACAGGGCTCTTTGGCACCATCCCTTTCACAAAGACTTTTGAGGATTACAGGACTCTTTTCACTGGTCTGCCTCTTCCATGTGAGAAGCCAGAGTGAGCTCTGAAGCCACATGTTCTGGTTTTATCACTGATCAGCTGTGTGCAAGTTGTTGAACCTTTATAAGCCTGCCTACTTTTTCATCTGTGAAATGGAGATAATTTTACCTCCCTGTGCTGGGTTCTTGTGAGGATTAAGTGACATATGTACATGCCATATCCAGCATAACACAGCATATGGAATTGGTCAATAAATGTTGGTTGCCTCATCCATTCTACTAGTAAGTGCCTTAAAGGAAAGTTTTTTGTCCTATTTACTTTTTTATCCTCCTAAAATGTCTGAAAGAGGACCCCTAGTAAATATATATTGATGTAAATTATACTTATAGCCTAGATATTATAGTTTTAATTTGCCTTGGACTTTATCATTTCATCTCCCTTCTTAGCTTGTAAAGTAAATAAATTCTGTTCTTGCCAATACTTTCAGTTGCAATGGAACCTGGACATCTGGCATCCTGTCATGGCTCACACTCTTGGCCTTAACTCACCATAATCTTACTTTTCTATTTTTGTTTCAGTTTTCTATTCTGAATTAATTTAAACTTGGATGAGTTTTTCCCAAGCTAATGATTTGCATTTACATAGAGATGAAGCTTCACTGAGAATCCTAAACAGGGGTATATTATAGGAAAAAAACACAAACGGATCAAAAACTTGGTTAAAGATACAAAAAGGAATAAATCGTTTCTTCCTCTGCCCAATAGCATAAGCAGTGTTCAGGTTTTATAGGTGTCCCCATTTTTTTTTCACTTGGAAACATTCTTTGTTAGATCAGTGCACAAAGGAAGGCATATGTGGCCCCTGTTCAAGGGCCCCTAAAGGCACGAAGGGAGCCCACTATGAGTGACGGCTATGGAGTTCAGTTGGCCGAGGGGGTGTGCTGCCGTACAGACGGGTTTTGCTTCATGAATGATCTATGATCTATATTGTCCACCTTTATTTGGTGGGTCAGGTTTGTGCTCCTCTGACTTATCCCCAAGAAACATCCAGCATTTTTGCTGGACTGGCAGCGGGGTCTGTCAGATCCACCAGGCCCGGGAATGCTCAGCACCAGGGGGGTGGAGAATTGACACCCAGAGATACCACAGCCTGGTCTCAGTGCCCTTCCCCAGTACAAGAAGTCTCCTCCATCTGTGTCTCCTCATCTGTGAATTATGGTCCACACACATCCTGATCAGTGCCTGTGCTTTACTTAAATGGAAGATGGTCATGAAGTAAAAGTTTTGATTTCTTAAAGTTCTGTTTATGATTGGCTAATGCAAGTATTCCAGGGCAATAAATGTCTAAGAGGCGGGCAGGTAAATGAATGGCTCCCCTGACCTTGTCGTAGTTTGGGTGTCCAGTACTGGAGGGAAAGAGAGAGAGAGTAAATTGGCCTGTGATCCTTCTCTAGCCATTTATTTGGTGAACACTGAGCACTGCTATGTGAGATACCACAGTGGTCACTGGGGAGCACAAAAAACAAATAGTCCTCATATTGACATAGTTAGGAGGAATTCACTGGCCATTTGTTTCCCAACTTTTCTTTTGCTTTAAAATCTTCCACAAACAAAGGAACATTTCTCAGCTGTAACTCTGCCCTGAAGGCCCCCTGTCGGCATCTGAGGTCAACCCCAGCGCTCTGAGGCATAGTTTTGAAAACCAGTGCAGTAGAGAGGAAATTGCTGAGATCGAGAACTGTGTTTTCTTCTACTTAATAGCTCTGTGCTCATCCTAGAGCCTGGCCCAGAAGGGGTTCAGGTAAATATGTCTGAGAAGGGATCTCCAGTATGAAGGACAGCGATGTAAGAGAACATATTCATTCATCAGTAACTTTAAAATGGTATTGAGGCAGTCAGAGGGTGCGGACATGTCCACATCTGGAAGAATAATGTAGGATGAGAGGCATCTAATGCCCCAGTGGTCACTGTGGACAGCTGATGTTCCACTTCTCTTTTGAAGATTATAAGACCAACCATTTCTGGCAATTGATGCAGAAAGGAGAGTGTGGTTTTGATCTGGTGTTTAGCAAGTTACTGCTCCAGTGATCATCAGATTTTCTGATTTCCAGCAGGAGGACAAGAACTGGGGAAAAGATAGCACAGGTGATGTGATAGGGAAGGAGGTGAGTGGACAGGAATACCTGCAGAAGGAGCAGCATACTGCGCAGAGAGTAGTGAACAGGGAGGGGACAGAGCTCACTCAGGATGAGGCTCCAGAGCAGAGTGGGCGCTCATTTATTGCAGTGCTCTGCCCTGGAACGTTTGCATATTTTACACATGAAATCCAGTGCCTCTCAGGTGCAAGTTTTTATTGTTTCTTTGTGTTTTAGGGCTCTACAGTGGCCAGAGAAGCTAGTGACAAAGAAAAGGTAAGTACCCCGGTATACTCCCCATGGTCCTGCGGGCATGCTCAAACAGTACGTCCTCATTCTTTCTTCCTGACTTCTGCCACTGTGATCGTTCCCATGTCCCTTTCCCTGCACCAGAGAGAAGCACATTACTGAACTGGAGTGCTTTGCTTTACTTTTCTTCAGCTCAGCTGTCCCATACCTCTTGGGTGAATAATGAAGTATTTATTAGTTTTAAAGGTGGTTGAAAGAAACGGTTAACATGCAGCATGGTCTTGGAAACGCAGCCATCTGTGTAGTGATTAAGACTGTCAGGTACAGCTCAGCAGCAGGGTCCTAGCCATACACTTGACCACTGACTAACCAGGTGTGACCTGAGCAAGTTTTTTGCCTCTGTGAGCCCATTTTCTTACCTGTAAAATGTTGTCTTGCATGAGCTTTAAACTCCTGTCCAACTACAAAATATTAAAATATGATTTAGAGTATTTTATACTTAAAGAATTAGGGAGGAGAGACTATGTCTTTTCATGTTTTCCTGAGTAACTGGACAGTAGGAAATATTTGAACTACATTTAGTTTATTATGTAATATTATAGACAGATTCAACTAAAATCAATTTCATTAGGAAGCTGGGAAGTACTTTCTGTATTGACTGAACAAAACTGAAGAAAATCAGCCTTGCTTATGTGAAAGGCACCTCTATACTCTTAGTTATTCCTCTTCTTCACCTTGGGAAATGTTTGGTTTTTTTTTTTTTTAACCAAACCATCTGAAAGCTAGGGCTCAAGTTTCTGTTTTTGTTTTTGAAATTAAATTCTTTCAGAATGATATCATTCAGTTTTGGTTTGAATTTGAAAATATACTTATTCATTCAGAAGTGTTTGTGAATGTCTTTATGGTTACTGTCCTAGCTTCAGGGATGAAAATAATGAACCACACAGACACATCTAGTAGGAGATACAGACATTAATAGGGAATAACAGTGCCATGTGATAGTACTTTGATAGGAAACATGTAGCAAGAGTGCCTGATTCCAGCTTGGTGGGGCCAATGAAAGGCTTCCTGGAAGAGGCAACATGTGGATACTTGAGGGATAAGTAGGAATTAGCCAGGGAAAAAGGCAAGAATGGGCAGCATGTGCATGAGCACAGAGGGGGTGTGCTTGGTGCTTTAGCTAGAGGGTGAGGTGAGGCCAGTAAGCTGGACCACTTGAAGAGGCTGTTGAAATAACCCAGATGAAATGGTGACCTGAGCTGGGACAGTGGAAGATGACAGATTGTAGAGTAATTTAGGAAGGAGAATCCAAAGAACCCAGAGATTAAATGTGGGAGGTGAACTGTGTCAGGGAGCATGTGTAGAGGGAGGGCGGGGTTAAGAATGACTCCCAAGTTTCTGGATTGGACAGTTGTATAGGTGTTGACTTCACTCTCTGAGAGAGGGAGCAGAGTGGAAGGAGTAGTTTGAGAAGTCGGTGCAGCATCAGAACAGAGATATCCAATGGGCATGAGAGGCTGCAGAGAGTTTCAACTGGAAGAAATGGCTTAGGGAAACTCATGGGATGGAGGGTCGCAAAAGCAGGGAAGTAGATGAGGTTTCCCAGAACGAGTATATGGAGTAGGAAGAGAAGCATGTCTGGAGCCAGCCCAGAAGAACATCATCATTTAGAGTTGATGGGTAAAGGAAGAGAGTCTTGCAAAAGATCAGCCAAAGATACAGGAGATGAACAACGGAAATCTGGATAATTTTTTCTGAATGTTTATTGAGCACCTATATGAGCAAGCATTTTGATGAGCAATATGAGAAGTGACTCAGTGACTAGTACTCCTACTGATATGAAATTTGCTCTCTAATGTTGTCCCAGAAACCAGAGGAAGAGAACTGTCCCAGTGTTGGATGCTTCTGCAAGGTTACATAGGATGCGGACTGAGTAATTTGTTATCCGTTGGACTTAGCAATGGGGAAATCTCTGGTATCCTTGTCAGTGACAATGGGTGGGTGGAACATAAGCTAAACAGCAGTGGGTTAAGAAGCAAGAAGAGCAAAGGAAATGGTAGGTCCTTCTTTGACTATTTGTATTAACTGTGCACTAGTGAATATGTTTTTATACTTCTAACCTCCATGTAAATCATCCTGAAGTCACCAGCTGAGAACAAAGAAGCAGAAAGAGTGGACTGTCGACTTCCTTGTTTCTATGACTATACGTTTCTTTCAGGTGTCAAAGAATTCAAGTAGGTATTTAAGTTTAGTCCACAAGAAACTCAGAGTTTTCATATTATTGGGATTTTCTCCTAGGAAAAAATAGCTGGACTGTTTAAAAGTCACCCATACTTTTCAGCATCATAACAAGAAGCCAGCCCCTGCATGAGAACTGTGGATGTGATGACACCCGCCATTCCATGCTGGTTGCTCTGTTTTTTCTTCGTTCCCAAATGCCTTGAGACTCCTGCTAGCAGCCTTTCTTGCTCTGTTCGCTATGTCTTCCGGATCCATCGCCAAGGGCTTCATCTGCTTTGACAATAACCCATGCCAAGAAAGACAGTTACAGCTAATGGAGTGGTTGCTGCTGAAGTCTCAGTTATAAAGCAAGGGCATGTATGAAGGAAAGCCACAGTATGTGATGTCCTTGTAGCTGTAATTCCTCATCAAAAACAACACTCAAGTTACTTAGGTTTCCCTCCACAGCCCGACCTGTAGGACTCCATGCTTTCCAGAGACCCACAGCATTTACACAGTTCCACTGCCCACCTCACCAAAAATGTTTAGCCCTTTCTTGGTATAGCTTTCTGTGAAAAGATATGAGAATATAGGATTTCTTTAACAAAAACTCTTTTCTAAGGATTATGCCGAAGTGCTTTTATCCTCTTTGGAATATGTGCCGGTTCATCAAATCATCTCCTTTGAAGGTGGACTTGGAAAGTCAGGGACAGGAAGGACCTTGAGAGGTCAGAGGCCAGTTCTCCCCCTCACAAATGACTGATATGAAACCAAAAATTGAGTTCTTATGCTGCGTCATGAAATTGGTGGCAAAGGAGAACTTTTATCTTAACCTGGGGTTTATTTTTTTTAATGTTAATCTCAATGTATTGGGAATTAGAAAGATAAGCAATAATAACTGACATCTATCAAGTACACACTATACGCCAGACACTTTTACATGTTATATGAGTTTGATGATGTAATCTGTACCCTCATGAGGTAGGTGCTAGTAGTGCTTCCTTTGAGTAAGTGAAGTTACTTGCCAGGTTCAGTGACCTGTGCAAGGCCCCACAGTCCGCAGTGTGGCGGAGCCAGGGCTCCAGCCCAGAGCTCCCTTTTCTAATCACCCTGCTAAAGGTGGTACTCTAGCGGTCGGGGAGTTTTCTCTGTCTCCTTTTTTAAAATGACTCATTATCAAAAATACGAGGCAGGGCCCCAAAACAGAATTTATTTATAAAAAATTACATATTCTTACATGTTTAAACTTCAGTCACCTTCAGAGTACTCTCCATTTGATATAATAAACATATCAAGACTTTTTTCCACTGTTTAAAACAGTTCTTCAACTCATTAATTTTGATGCCTTTTAGTGCTTCTGCCATTTTTTTTGTTTCACCTTTTCCATGTTGGCAAAACGTTTCCCTTTGAGGACTTTTTTCATCCAGGAAGGGGAAAAGTCACATGGGGTGAGATGAGGTGAATAGAGTGGGGCACAGGGGTCATTCCATTTTTGATCAAAAACTGCTGAATACTCAATGTGGTGTGGGCGGGTGCACTTGTAAGTCACCCATCATGAAATGGACAGACATGCTGAAATAGCCTTCCAAAACATTCACTGATGTGGAACGCAGCCTCTCACAACAACACCAGCTGGTACACTGATACAGATGGGTTTCTAGAACACTAACCTAGCTGGGACATATACTAGAAGGGACCCACCCTCCAGAAGATAATTCCCACGAATCATGAAAATGAAAAAGGAATCATTCACTACACTGACAAAAACATTATTTTGAAGTCACATATGATACCAAAGCATTTCATTCTAGGTCTTGATTTAAAAATACGAAAGTAGTGAAATAAATTGTTTGGTTTCATACTATGTTGGCAAAAGCACCCATTCATATTTCCTTAATTTGTGGAATGTAGGAATTTTTAAACTATATCCCATGTCACTATAGCTTACACTCGGTACCCATTAAAATCATCTACACGATTGCTCTGAGGAAGAATTTAATGTGCTTTACTTTCTGGGCTTGGAGTTCATGACAGCTCTTCTTCCAGGAGAAGAGCCCAAAGGCCACCCACCTGTCCTAGGTTATAAGTGCTCCCTGGGAAGGGATGAGAGATAATCTCTTGGAGACATGGAATGTAAGTGTAATTAATATCAGTACTTGATGAAGGAGAGTATGCCTGCTGGCTGCTATAGGACATGATGTCTCTTGGATGTGGCACTTTGTTTATAATCTAGCCACAACGAGGTAACATTGACTGAAGTGTAACACGAAAATAAATGAAATGGATTAATGGAGCTGAACTTGTAAAAACATTGAGTTTTTAGGTTATACAAAAAAATTTTTGCATTTTCTTTTTTATGCCAATTTTCAGGTTTTCCCTCTGTGATCAGTTAATATAGTTGTCCAAAAAAAAGCATAAAACTATAAATATTTATCACTGTTACCTCTGGTTAGAAATATTTGGAGAAGGCTAAAAATATTTGTTTTCTACATGTTATCCTTCATAAATGGAAACTAAATGGTTTGCAAGAATCTTATGTCTATTGCTCTCATCATGTAACCATATTCTCTACAAAATGGTTGTCCTGGCGCAAAGAGCAGCTTTCCTAGCGGATCTCCACTGACACGGCTTCCTAAGTAATCTGAATTCTTTGTTTTCCTTTCATTTGAGTCATTATAACTTTTAATTTCCCATACTTTTAACTTGTTGATGACAAGTTTTAAAACTGTCATTTCAAATATTTAGTGATAGAGGTGCAGACAAGTCCCATCCCTTCTACTTCAGCTTGACATGTAATTAGCGTGATT